GTCCATCCTGGTAGAGCTGACGCCTTTCATTGTACTCCTTATACATGGGAACCTGAGGAGTACTTACTTTGTCCACATGTGTGTGCATCTGACTTCCTTCCTTATTGTGAATTCCTTGAGAAGAGGTAGAATGTAGAGCTCAAATCTGTACCCTAGGTGCCTCAGATGGAACTCAATAAGTTTATTGAACTATATTGATCTAATCTGCATTGTGGAGTAGACTATAAATAAAAAGCAAATATAGGATCTAATTTCTAGGAGTAAATAAGATTGGATGTCATTGATTTATAAAGTAATCAAACATGGGTGTTCCATAATTTTACTCATTTATCATAGAAAAAGTATGATGTTACTACTAAAATTTATGTCCATTTTATATCTGAAAAGAGTACTATGTGTCTGATAGTTCACATGCCACTTTTCTCTCCAAACTATTTGAAATAGTTCACAAGAAAAAAAGGGGGGACTGAGAAGAACATCCAACCGGGAAGAAAAAGACGGCCATTGCTGGGCACAGAGGACAGCTGCAAGAGGGTGAGAGAATGACTTACTTAGAAAAGGTAGGCTGTGACAGAAGTTGCCAAGCTTTGGCTGATCGTCGTACAGTGGTACCTCGGTTCATGAACTGAATTCTTTCCATGGTTCTGGTTGCTCGATTGTGGAACGAATTCTGCTACCAGAATCGTGGAAATAAGTAAATGGATGAACCGAGGTACCACTGTAATTACTTGGAGACTTTAATCAAACACAGGTCTGCGAGCTCTGCTCAGATTCCAGGGCCAGTCTTGTGGGACACTAGCACCTGGCTTGTAAGATAATGCCCTTGGGTGATGGCGAACCGCTGGTGTGTGTGCTGCAGCAGGCTGTTTGGTAGCACTGAAAGCTCTGAAAGGTCCATCCGCACTGCTCTAGGTCATTTCGGTCACACCCAAATACGGAAGTCAGTAGGCGGAGGGAAACCACTGCGATATCATGAATTCACTGGGCTCACAGTGTGTGGCACTGTTGGAACGTTATACATGGTTCTCCAAAAAAGAGAGTTTTTAAATAAAAGTGGGACGACCAGAGTATTTTGCCTAAGAATTAAGAAAGTTAGTTAGAGTCATAAACAAACCATTTAAGTAAATGTTCTAACTGCAGTAGCGGAATGCTAAATTCATTCCTATCTCAAAAATATACCACACTTCTACTTTTCGGCAATGTCAATAAGATCTAAGCATATTCTAATATTTAAATTAAAAAATAAACATTTTTGTAGATATTATAAAGAAAATGTTCTACCAGTGGTGTCTTCTCTGATTATTAACTGTCAATTTCTCTGACAGCTGAACCAGGCCAAGTAGTTTTAGGAAAACCAATCACGTCCTCCTCAACTTTATCCCTAGAATACCCTAGCCCCTTCTTTTCTTCCGTACCCTGAAGTTTGTGTTGATTTGTGATCTGGAGTCTGGATTCAGAGTAGTTTAAATTCTAAGCAAAGCAAAAACTGCAAAAAAGCAAAATCTTTCAAGTCCTGTCACTCAGTGGAGGGGAGGGGCTCGTAGGGGAAAGATGCTTAGCACAGCAAGAAGCTTTTCTTCATTACCTCCCAGGAAGAGGAGCTGCGTTACCCAGAATGTCCCTGAGTTGCTGATATGGTGTCTCTGAAATTAAAATTTTAAAGATCTCTTTACAAATAATAGTAAAAATTAGCCACTGCCTAGGCTGTACACCTATAATCCCAGCACTCTGGGAAGCTGAGGCAGGAGGACTGCAAGCATAATTTAGCAATTTAGCAAGACCTTATTTCAAAAGATAAAAAGAGCTGGGGATGTGTAGCTCAACCCCCAGTACTAAAAAAGTAAAATTATTTAGGCATGGGGTCTTGTGTCTATCGTCACAGCCTACTTACAAGGCTGAAGTAGGAGAATATTTTTGATACCCTGAGTTTTGAGGCCAGCCGAGCAGTGTAACAAGGCCTCACCTAAAAAAAAATATCTAAGGGTGAAATTCTCTCCGTAACTCTGAGCTTGCTTATTGCCATGGTCCAGAAGTGTGCCCCACCCCGTTCACACGTTGGCGCCTCTCCTCCAGAGCAATGGTACTAAGCGGTGGAAGGTGGCCAGGCTCTGAGGGATCCCCCGCTCATCTTTAGGAGTGTTTCCCAGGCCGAAGGCGCCTGAGGGAGCTTGTTCAGCTCCCATCACATGAAGACAGCAAGCAGTCATCACCTGTGAAGAGCAGGCCCTCTAGACACTGTTGCAGCCGACACCTTCACCCTGGACTTCCCAACCTCCGAACTGTGAGCCCTTGGTTTCCAGTTCGTTAACCCTCAGGCTAAGGTAATTTGTTCCTGCAGCCCAAATGGACTAGGACAGTCATATGTACATTTAATCTTTTTCACAATGATCCAAGAAGTGTGTCAAAAAGGAAAAACAACGCGAAGTTGCTTCTGCCTACACATATCCACCTGAGCAAGAAAAAAAGAAATGTCATTTAGGTAAAGGGAAAAAAAACCCTCCACAATCTTAAACCTCACTTATTTTGTAAAGTTACTTGCATTCAACCAGTGATTAGATTCTCAAAGCAGTAAGTTGGCGTGGTCCTTTGGACACAGCAGACGTATGCAGGGTGTGGGGCTGGTCAGCTAAGTGAATCCAGTTTAACTTTCCAATCTTAGGAGCGTAACAGAAACAGTCTGTGAAACAAAACTTTCTGGTTAATATGGTGCACTTTAGTGGTCTTAAACAGGTCATATGAGATTCATCATTCTTTCAGGAAAGAGAAGACCATGAGATAATCAACAAAACTTTTGCAAATGAACAAAATTTTGTATTTTTGAAAAGTATGTTGGAAAAGAAGGCATGTTAATATATGTAACCCCAGGTGCATGGGAGGCTGAGGCAGAAGGATCACAAATTTGGGGCAGCCTGGCCTACATAGTAAGATATTGACTAAAAGAAAAAAGTTTGTAGGCTCATGATTTTAAGTTTATAGACTAATGATTTTAATGATTTTAATTTATATATATATAATCTTAAGCACCAAAGTATTGTAGTAAGCATGCAAAGTTATTCAGAAATTACTCAAATCCCACAAATTATATCTGAAGAATCTAAGATGAAGATGGTGTGTATGTGTTTATAAGTAGGTAAATATGCATAATTCATCTGAAATACTTTGGTTGCAGTGATCGTATAACTGCTCAAAATAAAACTTCAACCAAAATTTTTGTGTTAACAGCTCTATTCCACTTGAACCAGTGCTAAAATACTGGCCAGTGAGATTTGCTTAGAATAGAATAGAATCACTTTTTAATCAAATTAGTTACTACTTGCTAAAACTCCTTAAGACATATATACAGATGCAGTAAGAGTTATAACTGATTTAAGAATTTTTATTGAATTACCTTTAACAAACTCAGTTACAAAAGAATATGCATTATATTGAATTTCAGCTATTTGGGGCACTGTTTACAAAATCACTTATAATCTAATAAAATACTCCTTTGCATACTAATCAAGGGTATAATCTCTCATCTTAGGATATATATAAAAAATAATCATTAAAATTTGTACCCTGGCAAAAATCAGATTTGGGTGTGTCTTGAGAGAAGAGAATGTGGCCAGGAAGACCAGATCAAAAATCAGCGCTAATTCTGAATTTTAGGGTATCCTAGATTACAGGTCAATAAAGCTCTTTGAGCATAAGCCCTGAACTAACTCAGTTTTATAGCCACTCAGCAAACGTTGGCTGATTTCAAGACATATGCATTGATGCCCACTCTGGACTTTGCCCCAGGACAGCTGCTGAACTCTTCCTGCTTATGCCACAGGATAGCAAGAGAGGGTGTGCAGCCTTGGCCCCGAATGACAATAACCAGAACTTTCTTTTAAAAGTTCTACTTGTAGCAGGTCATGGTGGCACATGCCTGTAATCCCAGCCCTCAGGAGGCTGACCCAGGAGGATTCTGGCAAGTTTGAGACCAGCCTGGGCTACATAGTGAGTTCAAGGCCAGCCTACATTGTATAGCGAGATACTATCTTTTAAAAAAAATCCTATTTGTAAGTTATACAATATTTAGTAAAGGACAGGTCGAAAATTACTAATCAGAAAATTCACCAAAAAAGTATACCTGCGGTCTTGTTAAGAAAGTTTCATTTGGAGCTGGGGTGTAACTCAGTGTCTGGCCTATTGGAGGCCCTGGGTTTGATCTCCAGCTCAGAAAGAAAAGAGAGAAGGGAAGGAGGGAAGGAAGGTAGAAGAAAGGATGGAAGGAAGGAAGAAAAGAAAATGGCAGACTTGGTGAAGAGGGGAAAAGCTCTCTTTTGAAAAAAATTACAGAATTCCTTACCTTAAAAGTATAGCACCTCATACACAGTATATATAAAAAAAGATGTGATTATCCATACATAATCTTTTGTGAAATGTCTTCCCTACAGCCACATGAAAAGTTCGTATTTTGAGTTTTAAATAAAAGCTTGAGATCTTAAAATGTCTCACCTATTCCTAAACTAATTTCTTTCATGGAAGAAAGTATCCCATTTTAAAATAGATGCTGCAATTTCTCTTTTTTAAAGCAGTAGTTAATATTTTTGTGTATAAAGTTTGCCATTTCTTCTTCTGATGTGTAGTTCTTTAAAGAAAAAAAAAAATAATAAAAAACCTCAATCTCTCAGACCCAACAGAAAACCAAACGGAGGGCCTGAGCTGAACAGGTCCATCTGAGAGCACTACGAACTGTAAATCTTCCTCTCTATCCCGATTCGGGTCGCACTGCTATTTTTCGCACATGCAGTCTCATGTTTTACACACAACTAGTATCCTATTCGAGTCTTCTTGGAAGAAGTCCGCTAAGAAATCATGTGTTACGGTAGCAGTGTGAAGTTTGAAAGAATGTCTCATTTCTAGCAAGACAAAAGGCTACAAAAAATCTCGCAAAGAAAACATCACTGAGGGCTGGGGATTTAGCTCAGCGGCAAAGCGCCTGCCTGGCAAGTGCAAGGTCGTGAGTTCGGTTCCCGGTACCGGAGGAAAACCAAAAAACAAAAAGAAAACATCACTGTGCAGAGTAGATGCTGGTGTTTCATTATCTGCACCTAAACGTTTTAAAATGTGTGAAAATACCCTAATTTTGAAAAAGTACATTTGGAATAATGTTGGAACGCCCTGGACAGACTCAAGTGGAGGCATACCCTACGAGGTGACCCCCTTAGTCATCAGAGCAGGCTTCCTCCTGCAGGTTTGGAGGACACACTGCCCTTCTCCAGCTCTCTCCTAGCCGGAAGCGCAGTGGGCATCGTTTCCGTGGATCCAGAGGCAGATCTGCGCGTACTTGAGGGGGGTGATGCGCACGGCCACGTTGTAGTCCTTCTGCGCGCCGTGCACGTCCACCCACTGGTGGCCTGAGTACACCGCGATGACTCTGCGCTTCCACTTCTTCTCGCCTGGCTCTTTCAGACGCAGGTAGACCCCCGAGCCGGTGGAGCCGGACTCCGCGTCGCAGTACTGATAGAGGAGATCGCTGGACTCATCAGACACGCTGCAAAAGCGGTAGACCAGCTGATCGGCCCTGTCGTCGTCAAATCCGGAGAAGTGGATCATCCCGCCGGGCACCTTCTTGACGGCGGGGCTGATTCCCAGCTCCATGTACGGCTTCCTGTGCGCGCGCTTCAGCTCCAGCAGGGCGTAGTCGTAGTCCAGGGCGGGGTCCCCGCGGCCGCCTCGGGCCCAGCCTTTGGGGATGTAGGTGCTCTTGACCCGCGTCCACTGGAAGGAGGGCCGCCCTTCCGCCCTTCTCTGAGCCCCCGCGGGTTCCCTCCGCCGTGCTCCGCCCCGCGCTCGCTCCCGCAGCCCCGCCCCGACTCCCCGCCCTCGGTCCCCGCCGTCCGCGCCCCTCCTGGCCCGCGGGGCGCCCCCGCGCTTCCGGCCGCCGCCCTTCTTCCTCATTTTCAGCAGCCCCACCCGCAGCCTCCTGCTCCCTCGGACGTAGTCGCGGCCGTCGTGCACGCAGTGGGCGGCCGTCAGCACGTGCGCGGGGGAGACGAGGGCGCCGCTGCAGCCGGTGGAGAGCTTCACGGCCGCGCTGAAGGGGAAGCGCGTCAGGAACCGCGCGTCCCGGATGCGGAACCTGCTGTCGGCGCCGAACACGCGCCGCCGCCGCCGGACGCGC